GTGTGGATCTTGTGCGCTTGTGTGAATCCTGCTGTGTGTGTGTGTGTGAATCTTGTGTGCTTGTGTGAATCCTGCTGTGTGTGTGTGGATCTTGTGCGCTTGTGTGAATCCTGCTGTGTGTGTGTGTGTCAGTCTTGTGTGCTTGCGTAAATCCTGCTGTGTGTGTGTGAATCTTGTGTTCTTGCGTAAATCCTGCAGTGTGTGTGTGGATCTTGTGTGCTGTGTGAATCCTGCTGTGTGTGTGTGTGTGAATCTTGTGTGCTTGCGTAATTCCTGCTGTGTGTATGTGGATCTTGTACTGTGTATGTATGAATCACATGTGTATTTGTGAAACTTGAGACCGATCTAACTCCATAATCTAGATCCGTTTCTAGCCTCCGCCCACCTGCGTGCTTGGTGGGCCCGTACATGCTTCTGAATGATGATGGCGGACTCTCTCATCCTCAGATACTTTCTGCGAGCGACCCAGCAGCGGATCGTCTTCTGGATGCTGACGCAAGCTGAACGCAGTTTGTCAGAACGCAACTTCTCCAAGTAAGCCACCTGGCCGGCCCTGAAGAAGATCTTGTTTTTGCCAAACTGGTACTTCTGTTGGTCCTAAGGAAAAAAAAAAACACTCAGATTTATGACGCTTGACGTAACAACAACTCATCAACCACATGCTTTGATTCAAACACACCTGGGTGAGTTTTTCAAGGAGGTTTTTGCAGCTTTGTTTCCTGTCTGGCAGCACTTCCTTTTGCTTCATGAGGATCCGATAACGGCCAAAGAATTCCTGGTAGGTCCACCTGAGGCATCATAAACATACACAGTATAATCTGACCATAACTCCAACATCATCCATTATTATACAAAACAATTCTTATGTTCATATATATTGCAGATATTCTACCTAGAAGGGAATCCTGCTGCAGAGATACGGATCGTTTCCAGGACGCCACACGCTCGGAGCTGCTGCACAGCCCTCACAGGGTCCAAACTTTAAAATACAATTTAATGGGTTTCTTTTAATAGATTTTATTTGTTTAATGAGATAATTAAAAGTAGCAGACAATAGGGTAAATCCTCACGTGAAGGGAGCTTTAATGTCATTTGGTTTGATGCAGCGCACATAATGGGGCGTTGTTGCATTTAATGTGTCCATTAGTAAGTGTAGAGACTGTCGAAACTGAATGAAAACACAATAAGATTATTTAAAAAAAAACATTTAAAGAAGCCTTCAGATGCTAAAAAAAAAAAAAAACTGCAGAAAAACAGGGTTTCATCATCTAAAACTGTCCCACCTGCAGTCCAACAGTCTTCTTGGTGTCCCTTTGAGCCTTGCCAGCTCTTCCAGAACTGGATAACTTGTTAGTCGATGCTTTATTCTTTTCTTCATCCTCAAACAGCTTCAGCAGCAGATCAAACTAAAAAAAATACATAAATATAAAAACGAAAGTTTTACAGCAAACAGCAGATGGCAGTGTTTCCACTTTCAAACTCGGATGTAGTAGAATTTCCTCCAATAGTTCAGCTGAAACAATTCCAGGGTGTGCGCCGCAAAAACAAATCACTCAACGCTTATTTGTTCTCAGAAACAAAGCATTAAACTCAATTAAATGAACGGGGGCCTCGTTTGCAGCACATAGTTTTTTTTACCTTGCTCTTTTTCAGCACATTTATCTGTTCCTCGTTGACTGTGTCCTTATTTTTCTCCAGAAATCCAACACAGTGGTACTCCACCTGGACACAACGGAAAAGGTTACAGAAATGCTTATTGGATTGAGAAAGCAGAGTCGATTCTAACACTGTAAATTGCCAATCAGTCAAAATAATGTACAAAAATGAAAAATCTAATTACACATCTTCCTAATAAGTAAAAGTCGTCGTACAAACAGAAAACTCTTAGATTTTTAGTTGTAATGTGTGCAGCTTATCTCAGAATAAAGATAATATTTAAAAGAAAAGTATAAACAGATTTTTACTCAGCAGAAACAGCAAACTTTTGAAATAAAGTTTCGCTCAGATGAGACCAAAACTAAAACCTTTCAACCTAAACAGACTCTGTACACTGCAAAAATGATACAAACATAAGTAAAACATTTCTTAAATTTAGTGTATGTAGCCTTAATTTGAGGATCTAAATAAATTAATCTGCCAATGGAATCAGTATTTTTACTCTTAAAATACGATAAAATTCACTAGAAATAAAACAACGCAATTGTTTTTTCTTATTTTAAATGTAAATTGTCTTGTTCATTGGCAAAGTGTCTCACTTACCTCCTCTATTCAAGAAAAAATGCACTTATTTTAAGAAAAAATTACGTATTTAGAAAGTATATAAAGCCAAGAAGTTGCATCGTAAAATATCCGGAAAGCATCATCTTTGTGGTTAAACGTCATATTGAAAGGAGAATGAATCAGCGTTATATAGCGAGGCAAAGCTGTTAAATTCTCCAAAAGACTGGAGGCGGCGGGTCGCCTCACAGCGAGATGAACATTAACATACAACCTGAGAGATAATAACGTAGGAGGAAAACCGATATCCTGCTAACTGGCCGTAGCAACGCGTGAACAAGCAGACCTAAATAAAAAAATTAAAATCACATGCCAAAGCTTGGTCCCTTTATTTTTCCTTTTTTTTGGCATGAAATGGGACACCTGATAACTGAAACATGCATGAAGCTCCAGTTATTAGCCTTTTGGTGATGTATGGAGAACATACTGGAACCTGCTCAGTTTGATTACTGCACAAAAAAAAGCAATATTCATCTCTAATAAGATGTGCAAAAACCAAATTCATGCAACTGCATAACAGGATAAGAAAGCAAAGGTAAGGTGGTGCAGAAAAATGCATAACCACCAAGGATTTAGCTGCACAAGAGAATATTACAAACAGCACAGTGCAGAAAGCATATTTGGAGAAGAAAAGGATTTTCTGACCCGAGGTGATTACCGACCGATCAGGCACTTTAGGTTTCCATGGGTAATCCTGCTAAGACTATGACAAGTTTTATAAAGTAGCTTGTCTTTTTTTCTGCAGCCAAAAATCGCTTTAGCTTTAATCGCTACGTCGCTTTCAAGTCTTTAAACTCTAAAAAACTTCAAAAGATTTTCTTAGCGTAGATCTTTCATCTTTATGTTCTAGATATGCACTGGAAAATCAAAAAATACTGTAGAATAAACTTAGATTGTTAGATGAAATAGCACCAACAATGACTTGTTGACATGTTTTTGCATATTAGCACAATTTCAATCCGTCTGCTGTAATTTTCCACTTTCATATTTAGTATAAATCCAGATTTCTATGGTGTTAGAATTCTGATTTACATTGAGAAGATTTGTGTTATTTTCTTCTCAATCAATGTCACTGGATTACAGTTTTTCAATGAGAATCTTTAATTTACAAAACCCGTCTGGTAACACAGACAGAAGAAAAGGTTTACAGGAAGTTAAGTCGTAGCTACGCGGTACTAACGCGTGGAAACCAGATAAATAAGTTGTGGTCAG